TTAGATAGAAGCACTGTGTATTCGCACTTATAGTAAAATTTATATATAAAAAAAAAATTTTTTATCCAGGTGACTGGTGGATTGCCTATTAAAAGTATTTGATACTATTAAGATGCTTTTATATTTCCTTTTAATATCCAAAATTTAATGTCTGTAAATATTGGTTCTAATAATTTATGAAACTAAGATAATAAATTTACAGTATTGAAGGATAAAATATACCCTTTATGTTTATTAGTAAATAAAGTAACAATGTAGTTGCTTTTAGTATTTTTGTTAATATTAAGGTGCTAAAGACAATCAACTTTGCATAACTGTGTATTGTGTTGATTTTTAGAAAAAAACGTTTTATTTGAGATAAAAGTTTCTGCATATTGGCAAAGAAATGTCTGCTTTTTAATATCTTAATCACTACTTTTTTTAAAGTGACCCTTATAATAACCAAAGCCCTTTTATTTGCAGTATTTATCTAAAAACATAGTTACTTTTTTCTATAATACAAATAGTTTTCTAATATAAAGTTCACTAATTTTACTAATTGCTTGATCTTTGTTTGTTGTCACTTTTTTAAATATTGAACTTTATTAGTTATCACTTCTTCAAAACTTTGATTTTTATTAGTTTCTACTTCAAAATCATTTTTGCTAGTTGTCACTTCTTCAAAAATTAGTCTAGAACTATTCATATTATCTATTAGTTTATATTTTTTACTTGTATTAGTTTTGTTTAGAAATATCTGATCAAAAAAAAAAAAAGCATTTTAAACTGAACTCATACTGTATTTGTTAGTATCGAAAAGCAATATGTTGTATATTCCTGTTCACATGTTTATATGTTGGATACCTTTTACTAGTCCGAATATGAAAATAAGTATCTATGTATATATATATGAAATTAGAATATATATCTTTTAGAATAAAAAAAAAAATTGCAAGTTTTTAAATTTCAAGTCTATTATTTGAAAAAAAACAATAAAAAAAAAAGACTATACAGTATATTATCCTTTTACATGTTGAATATTTTTACTTATTCAAAATTAGAACAAAATCAAAGTCTACTCTGTTAGTATTAATAAAAAATGATATCTTATATATTAAGTACTCACTTATATATAAAAAAAAATACTTTTATAGTTTACTTTAAGTATTGCGAAATTGAATAAACCTGGTAAAATTGTAAAAGTGAAAGAAGTTTGATTATTAATATAATCACTTTTACTATTTATTGTATATGATCAATTGCATTATGCATTAATATGTATATTGATATATGCATTGATATATGTATTGATCAAAACAATCAAATATTTAAACTTTGCAAGTTGTACAGATTTTATATATGATGAAATATAGATCTATATAATTAAAAAGATACAAAGTACATAGAGGCACTGTTTAGATTTATTTTCAATAAAAATTATACAATTATTGAAAAATAATAAAGATGATTAAGCAAAGATGTGGCGACTTAGTATAGTGGTTTAGTTGTCACTCTCTCCAAGTGGCAGGTTTAGAGTTCAAATTCCACAAATGATAATTTTGAAAAATGAATCTGCGTTACGATTAACGGTTGTCGATTATCAGTTGGATTTTAATCTGTAATCTCGGTCACACCATTTAGTAATGGGAGCTTTGGCGCAATAAATCTGAGGAACCAAAATAATCAAAAACCTGTTTGGCAAGTCCCGAGTTGGGATGTAGCAATGATCTTTGATAGTACTACAGGAGAGCTGAATTCGAACTGGGGCCCGAGCTGAGTGATCAGGTCCTTAAGTAGGAGACATACCAGCTGAACCGCCAGGCTGACACACTGGAGAAAAAGGGCATACGCTTCGAAAGTATGAACCAAGGGGAGGGTGTCCTTCAGGCACCTAAAGCCTGGGCAGACTAACCTATCCGAGTTGCTAGCTAGAAGTAAGAGAAAGACCGATAAAGAATCCAGATAAGAAGATGGTTCCAAATGCGGGTACTGAAATTGTTGTGAACCTTACAAGGGCAAGAAGTACATAGGACCCCGGACATCTCTGATATATGTCATATTTTTTTTTTCAGCGAATTGCCAAAAATTTGGTCAAAGGTTCAAAGTTAAGTTTCGGCAAATTGACAGAAATTTTAAAATAGGTCATAATTAACTATTTTGGCAAATTATATTAACTTTAGATATGTTATATATTATTTTCAGCGAATTACCTACATTTTGGAAAAAATTATACTCAAAAATAAGCTACTTTA